ATATATTTCATTTTATTAAAATTAAATATTTTGTAATAATGATTGATATATTAGTTTAGGAGGGAGCTAAAGGATGTTATAGAATTGTTAATTTTAGGGTAACATAATTTAAGATAGAATATAATTATTGTATTGTAAACCCTGTGTGTAGCTCTGGGAAGTCGGGGGGAAGGGAGGGGGGTGGGGAAGGGTGGGTTGAAAAAAAAATATATATAAAAAAAATAAAAAAATAAAAATAAAAATAAAATGATTTATACAATTTGCTACATTTCCAGTTATGGTCCCAGATTTTGGGTGCGTTCTGTAAATCAGCCCATTTGAGATATCTTGGTTGAAAAGGTTTTGCTCTATGATGCACCATTTTGCCCAGTTAAAGGTTACGGACACGAGAGCTTTAGCAGTATATAGATAAATGTTAGGTCAGAGGGCTGTTTTCTGCTATTAGGTGTCCCTAATACTGTCTGCTGTCTCTTTGTCAATAAAGGCTTCTTCATTCCATCATTTAAAAGAGAAAGAACTCTGTCGATTGGGGCAGGAAGAATGATCAAACATCTCCAGATCTTTAAAGCCTGGATGAATAAATAGCATGTGAATTAACAACTACAGAAGTAAATAGAAAGGCAAATAGAACGCCAACATCTGATTCTTCCATGCCACTCTTATAACTCCTGCTGAGCAAAAAACTGCAACGGTCATCAATAGGATTCTCACCGGGTGCCGAATGTCTGTAATAAGCAATACAATGTCTGACATCTCCAATACACGCCATAGCTGCCTCCATGTCTAGAAAAGAAATCAGAACATTTAAAAAAAAGTCTTCTGTAGAATTTATCTTTCCCTAATGAGCCAGTCACAGCACCCCTGATCAGACTTTGTGTTACTAACAGAAGAGAATATTTGTAACTCAGGTTTGAACTGTGGGGTCCTTGGTGCTCTCTGAGCTTGGTTGTTTTCTTGGAAGACGTTTCATTACCCAACTAGGTAACATCATCAGTTCTAGAAGTTCCCCAATTAAAGAACTATCAACTCAGGCAAACAATCCAACTGTAAACAACAGCCAAATCAAGGGACCAACAACAACATCCCCATCGACACTGACAGCCACTAGTACAGGGGTGGCGAACCTATGGCACGTGTGCCAGAGGCGGCATTCAGACCCCTCTCTGTGGGCACACGTACCATGCCCCGGAGATGGTGAGGGACTGGCCCCTGCCACCCTGGCCCCGCCCACCCAGTCTGCCATGACCACCGCGGCCACGCCCACCCGGCACCCGGTGATAAATAAGTGGGTTTTGGGTTGCAGTTTGGGCACTGGATCATCATTGCACTAGTATAAAAACAGGAATCAAACCTGCAAATCTGCCCCCACTTCTAGCACTGATGATATTACCTAGTCGGGTAAGGAAACATCTGCAAAAAAGCAACTAAGTTCAGAGAGTACCAAGGATCCCACAGATTTTGTGCCCCTTTCCATTTTTCTTCTTGTGGGCCATATAATTAATATTGCCCAATCAATCCTAGTCCTCAAAATGTACAGGGTTTTTTGAAACATCTACAAAATAGAAGAACAGACATCCCCGAACCGATGTCCCTCCTCCAAAGGCATGGACTATCAGGATTGATGGACAGCCTTTGACAACTGTAAATTAAGGGAACTGAATCTAGGGCACTCAGGTTTGTGAAGATGTACAAGGTTATCTTTTTAAGGGGCAGAATCAGCACAGGCATACCAGATATTTGGCATGTGTGGCCTGTAATGTATGCATTTTACTAGCAAATATCCAAATATCCAAGGGTAATAATCATGCAAAGACCATGAGATTTTCCCATTATCTGGTGCACAATATACGATAGCTTCTGGTACAGAAACTGAAAAATATACCCTGGATATAGGAAAAAAAAGTGAATTAATTTTACTAACAGGAGCAAATACTTATGTATTTATTTCTACGTTGCCATCCCAATACTTCCCCCCGCCCATAG